CTTGGCTAGGGCCGCCCTGGAAGAGAGGGCGTGGAGGGTCACAAGCACATACTCACCTTTATGTATTTTATGTTTATTTCTGGGGTGGAGCTACCCAGTCAATAGATGATTGAGAGACAGACACTTGCTGGGTTTTCCAGATTTTTCATCTTGTATCTATTTTATAATCACACACACACACACACACACACACACACACACACACACACACATACACAACGTTACTTTTCCCAGGAATGCAAAAAGGAGGCTACAAATAAGATGTACCTATCCAGGTCCACCACTTACAAGCAAGCCCAAGACTGTGCGTAGGACACCCTTGAAGAGAAGTCATAAAGTGAGAGACTTGGCAGGAGTTGACTATTCATATTTTTCATTTGTTTTAAAATCGCGGACTTGTGTACGCTGATGGGGAAACCTCATATTATTATGACAGGCCTGAAGGAACCTAAGTGGTAGAGGAGAGGAAAGCGGGAAGCCCCAACCCTAAAAACACAGTACAGACGTCTTTAGTTGTTTCATACACACTGTCTACCCAAAAGCTTCTTTACAGAAAAAAACTCTGCTAAAGAAGAAAACACGGAGAAAGGATAGCCAAGGTCTTCCTCAAGGCTGTGAGCAAAAAAGCTTGTGTCCTAGAAGTAGAATTATGTCTGAAATTTCACCCGCGACTCCTGATATCTCCTTCTATGCAGCCAGGCTCTTTCGCTGAGGGTGTGTAGACACTGGGGAGGTCGATTCGATCCACTCTTTGAGGCCTGCTCAAGTTAGGAAGGTTTCTGAGTCAACCTTCCTCTGCGACTTCAGAGTCCAGAACCAGATTCTTGGTTCTTTGCTTTGAGATGGAGGACTTGCCCTTCAGATCATGAGGTTTTGGGTTTTTGGTTTTTTTGGTACCTTTGATCTAACTCTGGTCCTTGCGGTTGCCAGGCAGGCACCGGAACCACTTCGTGAGGTTTTTATCTTGGGTCCTCCAGGTTCTTAGCGCTGTATTCTCACTAGCCCCTTCTATATTCTGCAAGATGCTGAATCTTTCTCCAAGCTCGGTCCTCACCCACCTTCCAGTTCTCTTTCTCAGACTGGAGTATCTCCAATTCCTCGGTTGCCAGGCACTGAAGATTTTTGTCTTCCACCCGGGCCCGCCATTTTACCTCAGAAACTATTCTGGAAACTGCCCTCCTATGGATCCCCAGGTATCTGCTCTTGTTAGACTTTGATTATCTTGAGCTGAATCATTTTAATAGTTTCTCAACTGTTTTTCTTGCCTCCCGCCTCTCTCGGCAGCGATACAGACTTAGGAGTCACTCTGACGACAAAGCAAGCAACCCTCCACCCTCACCTACCCCCACACCTGCAGTGTCTCTGCTGCTCAGGTGTAGTACAATCTGAACTTTCACAGTTGCAGACCTGCCTGTTCCCGACTGTCTGTCTACTCGACACCTGGATTCTAGTTATACTCTCCCCTGCCCTTTTTTATTTTTTTATTTGGAGACAGAATCTCACCACGTTGCCCTGCCAGCCTTAAACTTCAGCAACCCTCTGGCCGCAGCCTGTGGAGGAGCTGGGATTGTGGGCATGCACCACCATGCCCAGCCCACCCTGGGTGTTTAGTGCCTCTGCTTGCTTCGTTCGTTCTTCTCCCTCATTGTGAACTTCTATGCCTCTCTTTACCTGTTGAATCGCTTACAAGCTTTCAAAGTTCAAATCAAATGCCTTCTCCTTTAACTGTTCTTCTGACTTGCCCAGTCAAATCTGTGAAGTCAATTAATGTTTCCCTCCTAGCACTCTGTTGAAGCCTTCACTAAATTCAACTGTGTTTTATGGCTTGCTGTGTCTTCCTGTCTCCCTAGAAACTGCCAGGGCCAGTGAGGTGGTGTATGTTTCTGACTCATCTTCATCTCCCAACGCAATGGGCATCATATATTTTTAAATAATGCATATTTTTTATTGTTTCTAGGCACCGAACCTGCTATTACTCTGATTTTGGAAATCTAGCCTCCTAAACTTTGAGAAATAACCCTCTAATATTTATAAATTACTCAGTCTATGGTATTTTGTTATGGTAGCACAGATTAAGACATGTACAGATACAGTACTTTTTGTGTTTATTGTACTTGGAAATTTTTTGAAAAATCAAATGTGGTAAGTTTTCAGCCATTGTTTCTTCAAATATTGTTTTGCCCATTCTTTTACTCCTGTCCTTCTGAGATTTCCAATTATACTTCTTTGGTGTATTTTATAGTGTCGCAGAAATTTTTGAGTCTTTGTTTCTTTTTTCTTTTTCCTGTTTTTTAGACTGGATTATCTCAATTAACTTATCTTCAAAATCTGCTGATTTTTTAAAACCTACCCATTAAAACTGTTGTAAACTACTGAGTTACTGTACTTTTCAACCCCAGAATGTTTTTGTTATTTTTGTTTTTGTTACACATAATTTTTTGTGGTACTAGAGATTGTACCTCAGGCCTTATCCATGGCAGGCAAGGACTCAACCTCTGAACTACATCTCCAGCCTATAGATAATTTTATCTTTTTACTACCTTTCCCTGTTTTGTGAGATTGATCTTATTTTTAAAAAAATTCTTGCTCGTTTTGGTGGCTCACGCCTGTAATCCCAGCACTTGGCAGGCTGAGGCAGGAGGATTGCTGTGAGTTTGAGACCAGCCTGACTACATAGTGAGTTCCAGGTCTACATAGTGAGACCCTGTCTCAACTCCCCCAAAATCTTTACATACACTTTGCTTTAGTTCTTTAAATATTTTTATAATAGCTGACTGTTTTAAAAATTTTGCCTAATAAATCCAATACCTGGCTTCCTTTGATAGTTTCTTTTTTCTTTCCTTTTTTTTTTAAATTTTTTTGAAATTCTTTTTTGACAGTCTCGATAGCCTGGCCTTGAGCTCGCTATATATTCCAGGCTGGCAACTCATGGAGATTCTCATTCCTCAGCCTCTGAAGCACTAGGATAACAGGCACGTGCCACCACACCAGGCTTGAGACAGTTTCTCTTGTTGCTTCCTTTCTCCTTTATCCCATGTATGGACTGGGCCGGGGATTTACCTCAGTGGTGCCGCCACCTGCCTCACAAGTGCAAGGTCTGGAGTTCAATCACTGGTATCAAAATGGGCTATCCTTTGTGTGTCTCAAAACTTTGTTGAAAAATCAGAGATTTTAAATTATGTAATGTGACAGCTCTCAAGAGTCTTTCTTTGAGAGGGGCAGGGGGATTGAACTTGGGCTCTTAGCACTTGCAAGGCAGGGGGTTGGAACCACTGAGCCATATAATATGACAACTCTTGAAATTAGATTCCCTTCTGTGGTAGTTACTTGACTAATTGCCATCTTGTGTGGGAACGGTTAGCTCATTTGAGTCATCATGGTTGCCAGGATGGTACAAAAAGAGAATGAGGGAAGGATTTCAGCTGATCTTCTTCTTTTTTTTTTTTTTTTT